GCCATCTCTCTCTGCATTCTGCTTTGGGAAGAAGCAAACACTTTGAACTTCTGCTATTTTTTCCCATAATTGTAAAACTTTCTTGGTTTATTGGTTTTTGATTCATCCTACTATGGAAGATGAAGGTTTAGCTCTCATCACTCCACACGTACACCTACCTGATACCCCTCTACTCTCCTGAAATAATTTGAGGACATATTTGGGTAAACCCAGATTCCGTATTTTAATTATTACAACTCTGCATATTGTAATTTCATTTCTTTCGTGTATAATTTTTTTCTTCATGAGATGTCTGTCTCTCTTTTTTTATTAACGTGTCTCGGTTTGAGTGGACCTCTTGCTCAGTCTTGCCACGTGCTCCAAAGTTGTACAAAACACCTCTCGAAACAGTTTTTCATACCATCTTGTCAGAAAATCTATCAATCCCTTTGTATTTCTGGACCTTTCCCTCGGCAGCCACCATCCTTCAGCTCTGATACAGACCCCTGAGTCTCAAGAGTCCCAGGAGCCCACTTTTTGGCCGTCCTGGGAATTGCACTTGTCTCTCTGCCGTGTTAACCAGTGCTTCTGAATCCCTCCCCTTTGTCTTTCTGGGTGGAAGGGAGGGGCCGAGAGGGAAGGCAAGGGGAGAGGGGAGGCGCTTGTCCTCCAGACCAGGGCTACTGAAGTGTGGTGCCCGAGTCCTCGATGAGGGCAGAAGCTGGCATGAAATGTAGCCAACCACATCTCTGGTCAGTTGGAGCAACTTTATTCCCACGGGAAGATTTTATTTTCCAATTTTAACAAAACAGAATTTTTATAACGGACATTCACCATTTTCACCAGGAAAATCACATAACATGGACCTGTTTTCAAATACAGTGATACCTCGGTTCTCGAACATAATTCGTTCCAGGAGGACGGTCGAGAACCAAATTGTTCGAGAACCGAAGCAATGAAATCCAATAGGAAATAATGGAAACTGGATTAATTCGTTCCAAGCCCCAGAAAATGCCTATTTACTGGCCTAATTTGTATATAATATGTAGAAAAACATAAGTCTCAACAAGAAATAAAAGTGTACAGTATGTCTAAGGGTTAAATTCAGTGTAAAGCGTGACTCTCTCCACAAAGCGTGACTCTCTCTCTGCACTCACACTGACGACGCAAGCAAGGCGCTGGGCCGAATGAACGCCATTCGGCTCAACTCGGCTCATCTCGGAAGTTCGAGTTCCAAATATTTGTTCGGATTCCGAGACAAAAGTTTCTCGAATCTCCTGGTCGAATACCGATTTGGTCGAAAGTCAAGGTGTTCGAGAACCGAGGTATCACTGGTACATATTTCTGAAGGCTCTTTCTAAATTTAAAATTTCTTTAGAAAAGCAACAGCTTTCCTCATTCATTGGTGACATGTCTCCTTTATCTTTGAAGGAATAATTAAAGATATCTTTAAAAAATCTCTCTCAGGTCCTGGCCAGGTGGCTCACTTGGTTGGAGCATCATCCTGTACACCAAAAACTGCTGCAGGGTTGATTCCTGGTCAAGGCACATACATAAGTTGTGGGCTTGATTCTCTCTCTCTTTCTCTCCCTTTCACTCTCTAAAAAAATCAATAAAGACATATCCTTGGGTGAGGACTAAAAATAATATCTTTCAGGTGAAAAGAAATCACAGAAAAGGTCAACATATTTTCTTGTCTTTTTTCTTTTAACTCATCTTTATTGTTGAATGTATTACAGATGTTCCTCATGTTTCCTCCATTGACCCCCTCCTCCCCACTCCCGCCCCTCTCCTGCCTTTCCCCACACTGTTGTCTGTGTCCATTGGTTATGCATAGTTGTATAGAAGTTCTTTGGTTTATTTCTTCCCACCCCCCACCCCCCTTCCCTTTGAAGTTTGTCAGCTTAGCAATCAATTTATACTTCTTAATCCCTTCACCTTTTTCACCCATTCCCCCAACCCCCCTCCCATCTGGCAACCAACAAAATGTTCTCTGTATCTATGAGAATGTTTCTGTTCTACCTGTTCATTTTGTTTGTAGATTCCATTGTCGATAGATATGTATTCATCGCCATTTTATTTGTTCATATTTTTTATCTTTTTCTTCAAGAAGACCCTTCAACATTTCATATAATAATGGTTTGGTGGTGATGAACTCCTTTAGCTTTTCCTTGTCTGGGAAACTATATGGCCATCGATTCTAAATGGCAGCTTTGCAGGATAGAGTAATTTTGGTTGTAAGTTCTTGGTTTTCATCACTCTGAATATTTCTTGCCACTCCCTTCTGGCCTGCAAAGTTTCTTTTGAGAAATCAGCTGACAGCCTTATGGGAACTCCTTTGCAGGTAACTAACTGCTTTTCTCTTGCTGCTTTTATGATTCTCTCTTTGTCTTGAACCTTTTGCATTTTGATGATGATGTGTCTTTGTGTGGTCCTTTTTGGGTTCATCTTGTTTGGGACTCTCTGTGCTTCCTGGACTTGTATGTCTGTTTCCTTCACCAAGTTAGCGAATTTTTTACCATTATTGTTTCAAATAGGTTTTTGACTTCTTGTTCTCTTTCTTCTCCTTCTGGCACCCCCAAGATGCAAATGTTGGCACACTTGAAATTGTCCCAGAGGCTCCTTACACTATCCTCATTTTTTTGGATTTCTTTTTCCTTTTTGCAGTTCTGATTGGACGTTTTTAGCTTCCTTATATTCCAAATCAATGGTTTGCTTCTTGGCTTTACCTACTCTGTGTAAATTATTCTTTATTTCAGTTAGTGCATCCTTCATTTCTGACTGTGCCTCCTTCATTTCTTTTTTTTTTTTTTATCCTCACTCGAGGACATTTTTCCATTTTTTGTTCAGGTAGAGTGGGAGGGGGAGAGAGGAACAGAGAGAGAGAGAGAGAAACATCGATGTGAAAGGAACACATCGAGTGGCTGCCACCCACACAACCGACCAGGGCCGGGGACAAACTGCAACCGAGGTACGCGCCCTTAGCGGGAACCGAACCCCGGTCTCTCAGGACCGCAGGCCGACGCTCTAACCGCCGAGCCAAACCGGCCAGGGCCCTCCTTCATTTCTGACTGGTCCTTTTTTATGCTCTTGAGGCCCTCACTAAGTTCGCTGAGGTTCTCACTAAGTTCATTGAGCATCCTTATAAGCAATGTTTTGAACTCAGCATCTGTTAGGTTGCTTATTTCTATTTCGCTTAATTCTTTTCCTGGAGTATTGTTTTCTTCTTTCATTTGGGACCTGTTTCTTTGTCTCCTCATTTTAGCTGCCTCCCTGTGTTTGTTTCTGTGTATTACTTAATGAGAGGTATGGGGCTAGCTGAGACCAGATGCTGCTTGTTTGAAAGAATTTAAGAAAACCTGAAGCAGGATGCAAGACAGGCCAATCCTATGGTTAAGCAACTGGCAACAGCTTAGGTGGGCCTGAAAGTTGGGTGGGGCGGGGTCTCAGAGAATCACTAGGGCGGGGCAAACAGTACATCCAGGTTGCTGGAGTCCCAGATATGGGGACTGTCTGCCGCCCCAGGGAAGGGCTCACCAAAGGAACAAAGGCCTCTGACAGCATGTTTGTCCCAGAGAAAGCCCCCTCTCCAGCCCTCGCTCCAGTGCCAAACAGCTCAGTTGTTTCCTGTATGTCTCTGGTGCCCCTCTAGCTGCTTCCCCTCTGAGCTTAGAGGGAGCAAGTCTGAGTAGGTCAGTGTGAGGGCCCTTTAAGAGGAGCTGCCTGGGGCTCCAGCTGCCTCAGCTTCCCTGAGCCTCAGTTCCCACTGGTTTTTCCAGCCAGAAGTTGGGGACTTCTCTTCCTGGCACTGGAACCCTGAGCGGGGCACCTGGTGTGGGATGGGGACCCCTCAGTCCTCAGGGAGGACCTTCCCAGCCGAGGTATCCTCCTGATTTTTATCTGCCACATGTGGGTGGGGGACCAGCCCGTTCGCCTCCACCCCTCCTATGAGTCTCTATGTGGCTACTTCTTCAATTTCATAACTAGGACTCCCATTCAGCTTGATTTCAGGTGGTTTTGAATGATGGTTGTTCTTTAGCTTAATTGTAACTTTGATGTGGTTGTGGGAGGACGCAATACCGCGTTTACCTATGCTGCCATCTTGAACGGGAGGCCTACTTGTCTTTTTGTAAAAAGAATGCGTACTACTTTTTAAGTATTTGCCATGAGTTTACAATGAATCTCCATGTGATACAGTAGATTTTCAGGGTCACTCTCTCTTCTTACATGAAGCCTATGTGTTAAGAGAATAAGGACATAAACCCAAGTAAGTGAGTGCATTGAATCTAAAAGTGAAGTAGAATCATTGAGTGAGAGTGAGGACACGCCCTTGAGACTGAATCGCCCAGTTTCCTTGGGAGGCACCCAGTCCCTACCTGGTGTTTGAGGGAAAGCGGTCACCTGTATATAAAGTATTAATAAAACTTAATTTGTTCTTATTTTCAAAAACATCAATATACATAGAGCCTCTACTATTTCCTTTGCCTCTACTAGATTGTCTTGTACTTCCCCTGGGGTGCTGTGTTCCATTATGGCAAGGACTTGACCAAATGTTTACATCCTGCCTTCTCCAGCGGTATTTTCTTCCTCATAGGAATATAGCTGTCACTCATACTGTCTCACCTCTGTGCCAGGCACTGCTCACGTGTTTTCTGTGCAACCCACGGTGCTTACCACCTATTTGCAGACCTTGTGTCTTGGAAATTTGCAAACAGCAGCTGTTCAAAAATGTCTGTTGTTTTCCTACAAGAGGGCCTCCATGAACGTCCACACCAAGGTGGCTGCCCGATCAGGCATCAGGATGCCATGGTGGGGCCTGGGGCCTTCCCCTCTCCAAGAACAACTTCCAAGCGGTAGCCTGTACAGATGGGCAGAAAAGTACCAGCAGATGCCTTTATTCAAGCCAACCACATCCCCTATCCATGAACATCAGCCTCTCCTCTTAATGCCTGCCTCCCTTGCAGAAAGAGAAAAGAAAAGAAAAAAACAGACTGACACGTTCTTTTGTTCCTCTTACTCACAGCAAGGTTGGACCACTGTACGCTCCTCCAAATGCGTCTTTGTCAATCACTGTCAGGTATTTATTCTTGTTCAGATAACTAGAGGGAGAGAGAGAACATAGATGGGGTGAGGTTAAGTAAATTAGTAGAACTATCAAAATAAAATGTAAGCATAGTCCCCCTTAGCTATTAACTGGTTTTTAAGATTTGGAAATTTAAGAATTGCCTTCTATGGTGTTAAGCACTCAAAAAATTCTAGATTTCAATTGTGTGAGGTTTATACACATTAATTATGGTTGAAGTCTTGGAAAGTGAGCATGGTTATTGTCTAGTTTGCATATCTAGATTTTATACAAGTTGCCTAATTCCCTATTTACCGGGCCTGTGACAACTCTATTTTTCAATCCTCTTCAATACCAAGTGATTTAAGTTTCTTTTCTCAATATTGATCAGTATTCCCATTTACTTTTGAAGACTGGGCTTCAATTAGGGACGTGATGAGGGTGATGAAGGTGGTGAGTGGGGATGGAAACTGTCAGACACTCAGATCTTTTCTTTGGAGCAGGGTAGCTGATTTAGCAAATAAAAACAGCGCAGATAAATGATGAATAATTCTTTAATAGAAGCATTCCCCATGCAGCTTTGAACCAGTCTTACACTAAAAGTTATTTGTTGTTTATCTGAAATTCAAATTTATTTGGGTAATTTGTATTTTCTTTAATAATCCTATTTTGGGGGCGGTTAGCTTGGGTAGATAAGATTAGAGAGTATACCTTTCGTGGAAAGAGCTTGATGGGCTCATTAATCTTTCCATTTTAAAAACACATGGGCATTTGAAGCTAAAATATATATATATTTAATCCTCACCCGAGGATACTTTTTCCTTTTTTCTTCAGTCAGAATGGGAGGGAGGGAGAAGGAGAGAGAAACATCAGTGTGAGAGAGACACACAGACTCTCGCACATAGACACATAGACACGTTGTCTCCCGCACCACCAGGGCTGGGGACAGAACCACAACCGAGGTTCAAGCCCTTGACTGAAATTGAACCCACGACACTTTGATTCTCCGGTTGACGCTCTAACAGCTGAGCCAAACCAGCCAGGGCTGAAGGTAAATGAAACATAAAGTTACCTCCAAATGAATAAAAGCCTCCAAGGATTTTATTTTATTATTATTTTAAAAATTTGTTTTTATTGACCTTAGAGAGGAAGGGAGAGAGAGAGAAAAAAACACCTAAGCAAGAGAGAAACCTCAATCGGCTGCCAACTGCACGCCCCCTACTGGGGATTAGCCCTGAAACCCGGACATGTGTCCTGACTGGAAATCAAACTGGTGACCTTTGGGTGCAAAGGAGGACGCTCAACCTACTGAGCCACACTGGCCAGGGCCAAGGATTTGAAGACTGGCTTTTCCCGGTTAGCCTTTTTAGAGAAGAAAATTGTCTAAAAAACAAAGTATGCGTATATCTTAGTGTGACACATGCAATTGCTTTCAGGGCAACGGGAAGTGAAAGCTGAGAAAGCTCAGCATATGGTGTGGTGCCCAACTGACTTTCTCGGTGTCAGGGCAGCTGATTTACAAATCCCACAAGGGCGGGGCTCAGATGCGGCCTCTTCAGGCAGTGGCTGGACACCACGCTTCCAGGGCAATGTGAAAAGGAGGGTCCGTTAGTCTCACACGTGTACGGGGCCCAGCTGAGATGCTCCCACAGCCAGTATGTGCCTTCTGGATGCGTGGCTGTCGCCTGGGCTTCTGAATCACAGGTTCCTCTGATCACTGTTTGACTCTTCAACTCGCTGTGTCCACGGGGTGCCTTTGCTCAGTGATGGTTGGAGCAGGCAAAGAGCTGCCTTGGAGTAAGCAGCCAAAGAGAAGACCTTGAACGGCACGATTTCGTAAAAAAACAACTGAGCTCAGCAGAAGGGCCACGCTGGCGTGTGTCACTTTTTGTATTCTTTGGACCACGCAGCCTGCCGAGCACATCGGGTTCCCAGACTGCTGAAAACCATAATGTCTGGTGAGTTTATCTCAGTTTGTCCCCATCGTCTCCAAGGGCTGTGAGCGAAAACCGGCTTGCTCTCATCATGAGAAATGATTGCAGAACTAAATAACCGCTCGTCCAATTCTTCAGTGTTTTCATCTGATATTCAATACGCCCCAAGGATAAGGAGGCTGGTTGATAAGTGTCGTAGTTTACCAGAAACGTTGCAGGAGATTTCAAACTGGGAAAGCCAGCCAGAGTCCAGGAGGGGAGAAGGAGGACGGAGGGAGGATGCGGCCAACTTGAACAGAGATAAACTGGGTCTTGGGGGAGGCCAGGTTCTCTAGAACCAACATGGGTGTTTGGGCACTTTACCTCTTAGAGAGAAATTAGGTACTTAGAAATAAAACCTGCCTTTAGCAACATGGAGGACTGCCTCATTTTGCTTTTTTTTTTTTTGAAAATTTTTTTTCTTTGTTGATTTTAGAGAGAGAAGAAGGGAGAAGGAGAGAGAGAGAGAGAGAGAGAGAGAGACATCAATGAGAGAGAACATCGATTGGTTGCCTCCTGCATGCCCCCCACTGGGGATCGGGCCAACGGTCGGTGCCTTGCCCAGGAATCAAACCAGTGACCTCTTGGTGCATCGGTTGATGCTCAACTGCTGAGCCACACCAGCCGGGCATATTTTGCTTTTAATCTTATATTCAGATTGCTAATATACCTTCCATCTGAATCTAAGGGGATGGGATGGGGGACATCCACAGAAGCTTTAATAACTTTAATAGCAAGTGATCCTCCCATTGGCCCCATTTACCACATAATGTTTACTGGGAATGTCATTCTAGTTAAACAGATTCATTGACCATGACTTACCCCGACTCCCTGGAATCCACGTTCTGTCAACGAGCTTGGGTAAGCCAATCACACATCTTGATAGGCTATGTGGGTAACCACTCCAGACAATGATTATATCATAAGGGTGTGTGTGATCATTCCCACCGTCTCTTGCTAAGAACATAAATGAACTTAAAAAAGAGTAAGAAGTCTTGGAGTCAGAGTTGAAAGGAAAGACTTCTCAAAACGTAGGATTTCTGCATACAAATACTGGGAAGGGCTGATGAGAAAACAACCCCAGTGTCTCCTTTAACAACAAGATGGACACTGCTACGTGGGTTTTCAACGCCTTTTCATTCTCTGGGGACGGAAGCTTCTGAGAATTTCTTGGAAGAAATGAAGTTCTTCCTAGAAAAGGTATGCCAGATTTTTCAGGGTGGTGGTGGGGGCGTTTGTTGAGAAACTCTGCCCTGATTTAAGTGCTGTGTCTTCCACAGTTGAGGCAGAGCACTGTGATCAAGAAAGTGAAGAAGGTCAGGGTGGAGATGGGGAAGAATATCCAGTTGAAGAACTCAGTGCTATGGATATAAGATTACGGCTCACATCCTTCCCCAGTGGACACTTGGGACATAGCAGCTGGCCAATGGAAACATGCTGGATGAGCGAAGTCCAGTTGCGGGGTAATTCCTAGCTAAAGGCACCCTCCGGACTATGGTTAAGACGAGGAAGTGTGTCAGAGGGAGGACTCTGCCACTGTGGCAAGGAGAGCTGTGGTCGCTGCTGAGTTTTGCTCTCCCGGGAGTTTTACGATACATTTCAGCTCCGAGATGGACTTTCAGCCTGTATCTCTGTAATCCCTTCAGGGGACACTTGGGCTAGCACTTGTTTATGTTGTGAGATCCTCATGGGGACACTTCCATGAGGAACCATGGTTCCCTGCCATGTGGCACGTTAAAGGGAACCGCTGCCCAGCCCTCTTGCTCTATGGCAATCCTTCCATAGCAGAAATCAGGAGATTGGTCTGTAAACAGTCACAGGTGGGAAAACGCACACGGTTTCAACAGGCAGAGAAAGCCAGCCTTGGAGCATATCCCACAAGCTGTTCAAATACGTAATGAGAAATGATGCCCGGCTTAATCCCATGATCTCCTCTATCGTCATCTCTCCCCCAGTGCTCTAAACTGCCGTGTTTTGCTTTTAATCAGCTAATATGTGATGCTAATTAGTACCGGAATTGTGTTGACTTCCCTGTTCATAATGATTAGTGTTTCAGTGCATTCTTAGCACATCAAAACGGTAGCCCCCCGCCCCCCGGCCCGATTCAAATGTTTACTGTCAAATCGTAGCTGGGTACTAGAGTTTGACAATAGAAAATACAGTGCAGAGAATTAGACATGCTGAGATAAGCAACACGTTCCCACACCAGATTGTGTGGAAAGAGAGGATGGAAAAGAGGTCTCAAGGAACGAACGGACATGTGACTCAGGTTTCGACGGAGAGCGGTTCAGACTTCTGCAGAACAAAGGATGCTTGTGCTTTTACTAATTTCACATCTGAGTGATGACAGAGTGCTTGGTTCCATGTGAAATCACAGGACCATGTGCTCTCACACATCTGCCATCCTTTTCCTGAACTTTTCACTAATTATCCAACTGCTGCGGGGGCGTGTTTGTGCTCAACGTGGACTTTGTCCAACTTGGCTGCATCCGCGTTCTTCAGTGATACTAACAAAAGTGGGTCTCAACGAGGCCAAATCTGCTCATTTCCGTAAATTGGCACGAGGTGGATGATGGGGAAGAACTGTTCTTTTGGATAACATATTGTTTAAATTCAAACCTAAAGATATTTGAACACACTTTTGGAGAACTGACCAAATTGTTAACATGCTATGTGCAATCTTTGAACGCTCTTAAGATAATTATGAGATATTGATGTGTTTATATTACTTTAAAATCACAATTAGCATTGAGACCAGAGGCATCAGTCCTGTGTTCAAATCACAAAGTAAATAGTATTTCATTGTTACCATGGAAACTTGACCTCTGTTTTATCTTCCTCTGGTCCCAGCCCTCCTTGTCATAATCATCTTGATTTTACCTTGGATTTACATGATACCTTTTACTGAAGTACTTAAAGCTAATAAAAAGAAAGTTTCTATCAGCCAGAAATCAGAAACTTAGGGTAGAATACAAATAGATGAAACATTGTTTTATAACAGGAGCAGAGCTTCAAGTTTAGATTCAAAATACTGATTGGAGAGGGGAAAAAAAGATCTTTGTTTTCTATTACAATTGGATCTGAACTTTCAAACCCCAAAATATTTTTATCCAGATACTCCTTATCATTATCCTATGCTTGCCCATTAACCTTTACCAGGAATTGGGAGAAATAGATTACATGTTCTATTATACAATGGCCATTCTCACGGAATACCTTTATGTAGACCATAGGTTCACAAACTATGTCCATCCATTCAAATCCTGCTTGCTGACTATTCTTGCACACACAGTTTAATGGAACACCGCCACACACAGTGTTGTGTATTGTCTGTGGCTGCTCCCACATGACAGTGGCAGAGTTGAGTAGCGACAGCTGAAACCCTGTGGCTTGAAAGGCTGACATACCTGCTCTCTGGCCCTTACCTGAACAAGTCTGCGAGTCTCCGATCTAAACTTTAAAAAATCAAGAAACCAATGATTTCTTTGACTAAGACATACGCCCCACATTTATTAGACTCCTCCAAATAACTTTCATATTGTGCATGAAAATGCCAAGTATGGTAATAATGGTGCATTGATTTCTTTCCTGTGTCTCAAGGAATAGTTACAATGGTTGGAACTGATTGTAATTCAGGGAACCAGTGAATTAAAATCCATCGTCTCCAACAGAATAACTCTCTGTCTCCAGCCAGGCCTCTCACAGAGCCCAGGATATGGTCTGAGGAGAAAGATGGTGGGAATGTTGTCTCCCTACAAAATTTCTTCATAGGTATAATTCCAGGAGATCTGAAACTCTTATGAGCTCTTAGATTGTACACAGACCACCTCTAAAATAAACCTTGTTAAATGTACCTGCCTCACAACAAGTGGTATATTAAAAGAATCCCCTAGAGAAACATGACCCCAAAAGACCAAGGAAATGATCCTGGTGCCAAGAGTTCCCTGGGAAAGTCTGCAGGCCCCATCTGCCTCTGGAACACGAGTGATCCAGCTTACTCTATTAAATGACCAGGGCAGTCCATCTGGATTCTTTAGCTTTATAAAGTCATGAATAACTATTATTATTTATCTATTTATAATCCTCACCCGAAGATATGTTTATTGATTTTTTTAGAGAGAGGAAAGGGGAGAGAAAGAAACATTGACGTGAGAGAGAAACATCAATCAGTTGCCTCCAGTACACGCCCAGCCAGGGATGGAACCCGCAACCTGGGTATGTGCGAAAGGTTGCAGACTCAGGAATCGAACCTGCAGCCTTTTGGTGTATGGGACGATGCCCCAACCAACTGAGCCACCTGGACAGGGAGATTCATGGGTAGCTTTTCAAAGGTGACAGTTATAATGGGGTAAAAAAGGAGAAACATCTGTAACAAAAAAATGAATGAATGAATTAAAAAAATAATAATAAAGGTGACAGTTATAGATTTATCACAGAAAGGAAGCTCAAGGGACAGCAGTTTGGGAACACTCCCTCCCACCCCATCTTTTCTCTTACCAACAGAAGAAACTGGGACGGAAATTATTGTTTCCTTGTTAGTTTTTTTTCTCTCAATAAAAAATGTCTCTACACTCCTTTGATGTTCTGTGGCTGATTTTATGGCCAAAGCCATAAAATAATAGGCTACTAGAGTTACGCTGAGATCCACTTGGCTCATTAGAGTCTCCTAATTATAGAAGATCCATTTTGGAAACCTCTTGAAGTCTTTGAAACATGACCAAAGGCCACTTATGAGCAGGTATGAGATGTTTTCAAGGAAATAGTCAACCTATATGGCCCAACTTCAACCCCAGTTCTTCGGATTTAATAACAGTTTGCCATGCCAGCCTTTTTTTTTTTTTCAATCCTCACCCGAGGACATTTTTCCATTTTTTATTCAGACAGAGTGGGAGGGAGAGAGAGGAAGAGAGAGAGAGAGAGAGAGAGAGAGAGAGAGAGAGAGAGAGAGAAAGAAAGATCGATGTGAAAGGGACACATCCAGTGGCTGCCACCCGCACCACCCAACCAGGGCTGGAGACAAACTGCAACTTAAGCACATGCCCTTAGCGGGAACTGAACCCGGGTCTCTCTGGACCGCAGGCCGACGCTCTAACGCTGAGCCAAACCGGCCAGGGCCATGCCAGCCTTTTCATCGAGGTTGAAGGACTGCATTTGGAAGCTTGCTGAGTTGGTGACCTCACTGCATGGGTCCCGTCAGGTCCTCACTGACGAATGAGCCTGGTGCTCGGTGTGACTGTTTGCTAAAACTTCCGGTTGTGTCTCGGGTCTCACGTGGCCTCCTTTCTCTCACATAAACCCGCTCTTCTGAGTGGCAAGATACTTCAGCTTCATTTTTCAGGCTGAGTTGAGGAGTCTAAACATTCTCCTGGGCTAAGCAACAAGTGGTCAGAGGAGGAGCTGGGTATCCATGCCTTGGTGGTGGCTGGTAAGTTGGCAGTGATGATCACAGCAGGGAAGAGGCTTGAACCAGGGGATCCAGGTTTTGGCTTTGGCTTGACAGCTAGACAGCTCTATCACACTTAAAAAGCCACATGTTACTTTGGGCTTCATATGTAAAATGTGGTAACTGGGCAAGACGATTGATGTAGGTACTCCACAGCGTAGTTCTTGGTGGTTGCTTTCCATTGGACACACCGGGGGATTTTAAAATGCCCTGGCTACCCCCAGATCAATTGAACCAGAATGTCTGCTGGTGAAACCTAGGTATCAGTGCTTCCAAATCTCTTCAGGTGATTTGAATTTGCAGCCAATATCGAGAACCATTGCTCTGTAGACCTTAAAGTCTGAATTTTATATGCCAAATGTCTATTCTTAAAAAACGATAACTGAGCCTGGCTGGTGTGGCTCAGTGGTTGAGCATTGACCCATGCACCAAGAGGTTGCCAGTTTGATTCATGGTCAGGGCACATGCCCAGGTTGTGGGCCCCAACACCAGTGAGGGGCGTGCAGGAGGCAGCCATTCGATTTTCTCTCTCATCCATGTTTCTATCTCTCTCCCCTTCTCCCTTCCTCTCTCTAACATCCATAAAGAAAAAAAAAATTTTTAAATGATAACTGAGGATAATAGAGGGTAATACCTTCCAATGACTAAATATGGCAAAATAAAGAAGGAAATAATGTAAAGCATAGATCCTTATCTTGGGCTTCACAGTTTTTTTGCTTATGGAAAAAACAATTTTTAGAAATGAATTACCCTATATCCAAGGTTGGTTTCTGATTCTTTTTCTCATACAGCATTTCTCATACAGAAAAAGGTAGTTTTGGTTCAGACAAGAGTCACCTGGGCACACTGACTTCAGGAGCCATATTACCAGCTCTGGTGAAGGTTTCTTCACGGTTCTTACCCCTCCCCTTGCTAACATGGTTCTCTGTTGTCTCCATGATAATCTCTTGATGTCCCCAGTGTCCAGAGCAATGTGACAGTCTTCTGAAACCTTCATACCCAAAGGATCTACAAACTGTCTTAATTGCTTTACAAAGTCCCCAAACCCTGCTTCTGTCACAGACATTTGAACTGGGAGTGTCGTTTCTCTAAGAGTCGGGGCTTTCTGGGAATAGTGGAATCAGAGAGGGAGCTACGTGGACAGATTTTACAGTGCCCCTTGCTGGCCGGGAGGGCCACCACCATGCCTCAGGCCGCTGCACCCTGTGCCAGGGATTTCCACTGGGGCGGCAGCTCCTGGTTTGTCAATTGGCTTTATTTGCCTGTCTTGAAGCTATGAAATAAAATGTTTGCAGTTTGGTTTTTTTGAAATGTATGATCTAGTTGTTTTGTAGCCGGAGGGCCTTACAAATTAACTAGTCTATCATACTTGGGAAGCAGACTCGACTAAAGTGATTTTTCATTTGTTAGATATTAGGTTAAAACATACACCAGTAGCCCTGGCCAGTTTGGCTCAGCAATTACAGAGTGTCAGCCGACATACCAAAGAGTTGCGGGTTTGATTCCAGTCAAGGTCATGTCTTCAGTTGTGGTTCGTCCCCGCCCCTGATCAGGGTCATGCGGGAGGCAGCCATTCAGTGTCTCTCTCACATCAGTGTTTCTTTCTCTCTCCCCAACACCCCTCCCCCCACAATCTATTTGAAGATAAATGGAGAGAAAAAAATCCTCAGGTGAGGATTTAAAAACAAACAAATAAACAAAAAATACACCAGTATGACCAAAAAATACACCAATCCACAAGTTCTTACACACAAAATGTGCCCTGGCATAGATCCTGGGGACCACACAGACCCCACAGAAAAGTACAATGAACACAGAAGCCCATGTCAATGGCTCTCTCTTTGCCAGCATTCTGCTCTAGACATTATTTACTTTGGGGGAAAACAAAAGCTGGACATGGCTTTTCAGCTCTTTCTGAGTGAATCAAATGTAAACTGACACCTTTCCTGAAAAACATGTCAGGAAAAAACTAAAAGAAAAACCTTACTCCCTGAACAGCTTTGGACTTAACTAAAGACACTCTTACTTCCTGCGCATAGCAGATGAACGCTGATGCACACACACTCCTACGAGATAACTGAAGATGACGCCCACCTTCTCCATGTTGCTGAGGGAAGAGCTTTGGGATTTAAAATCGGAGTTCGTGTAAGCGTCCACTAAGCCAGTTCTTGCCAAGGTCCTTGCCATCATCCCCAAGTCTTGGTCACACTAACTCTGCGCTCAGGGAATGCGCTGGTAGAAACGATCTGACCCAGCTCTGGCCTGTGTGGCTCAGTGGTCTGTGCACTGAAAGGTCACTAGTTCAGTTACCGGTCAGGGCACATGCTCAGGTTGGGGGCTCGATCCCTTGTTGGGGCTGTGCAGGAGGCAGCCGATCGACTTTTGCTCCCACATTGATGTTTTTCTCTCGCCTTTTTCTTTCCTCACTCTCTAAAAATCCATAAAAAATCTTAAAAAAAAAAAAAGAAAAAAGAATTCTGACCCGTTGGATAGTCCTTCTTGGGGGTGGGAGTTTGGGGGACCATAGAGGTGTCCATAGCTTCCCTTGACTTACACAGCATCCAGCTTTGTCCCATTGAAAGCATGTCCTTGGACTGAAGTAAAGCCATTGTTGTATAGTTTCCTACAATCAACAGAGAGAGGAGAAATCAGTGACCTGCAAGAGGCGGTGCTGGCCCTTTACTGAGGTTGGGCTTCAATATGTCAATGTCAGAAATGTACATGAAGGGTCTCAGGTTACACCTCTGACCCCATAAAAATTTTACAGTATGTCTTGTTTGGGACATAGAATAATATTTCTCAGTTTGAATTCCCATTCTCCAGACTTAGCTTTTGGTAACATTACACTGTTCCTCAGAAGCAGATGCATTTTGAGGAACACAGATTTGCCACTATGAAGGACTTAAAAAAAAAGTTCCACATGTATTAAAAAAACAGAGGTTTCAGTTAATAGTTAATCCAATGTCAATAATAGAGGATTAACTGCGGTTTCTTAAACTCAACCTTTTTAAAGACATTATTCATCTGAATGCATAAGCTTTCTATTTTTTCTGTTTAAAATGCTATTTTGCATTTGTATTTTATCTACATATTTATTCTCAGGGCTTATCATAGATTAAATGCTTAAGTGCTGTGGGGTGAACTAAATTGAACTCAAAGACAAATTTAAGAAAGTAGACAGACCATGCCCTTTTGTGGAAATTTTAATTTTTTGATTTGTTGCTATAATTTTTCAACCAGTTAATGTCTACAATGATTCCAGGGGCGGGGCTGAAGTGTTATCACCCCTATTTCCTGCTTCAGTGACTGAGACGAGGAGGTGACTGCTGAAAACACACTGCTGGAGAGTTGTTGGGAATCAGGATCCCTGACCTCAAACACCATCCTTGCCGCTCTCCAAACACACACACCCTTTGAGCAGGGGAAGGAGCCCCAGCCGTGGGAACTGTGGTCTACACCAGGATGCATGGGGGTTCCTGGGGATATTGGCTTGAGTTAAGAGAAGGCAGCCATGTAGCGGTTGTAGGGGAACTTTGAACACTACACTCCGATAACACATTCGGAAGCACAAAAAGAGACTCCAAATTTGGAATTACATCTGGCTGACACTTCACAGTGTGTGATCCTGAGAATTTCTAAACCTCTTTATCTTCACTTTCCTTATCTGTAAAAATATGATGATAATACTCAATCAAATGGGTGCTGGGACGGTGAAATAGCTATGCAGTGAAACCTCGGTTCTCAAACTTGATTTGCTCCCGAAGGCTGTTCAAGGAGCGATTTGTTAGAAAACAGAAACATTTTTTTTCTCATTAGAAATAATGTAAATTGAATTAATCCATTCCAGAGCCACAAATGATTCCTTGTTTTAACCTTTCTTATATACAGTACATGTCTAATGTACTGTTTAGTCTATAAACAAACACTTCTTTTCTTAAATTTACCCGCTGCGATCCCTAAACGCATCGCTTTCAGCACATGGTCCAGGGCTGTGTTTCAGGAGGTCAGCACGCAGCCAGCGACTTTGCTTTTCTTTTTTTTTTTGTTCAGGTAGAGTGGGAGGGAGAGAGAGGGAGGGAGAGAGAGAGAAACATCGATGCGAAAGGAACACATCGAGTGGCTGCCACCCGCACGACTGACCAGAGCCGGGGACAAACTGCAACCGAGATACATGCCCCTAGCGGGAACCGAACCCGGGTCTCTCAGGACTGCAGGCCAACGCTCTAACCGCTGAGCCAAACCAGCCAGGGCCGTCTTTGCTTTTCATTCATCCAAATCCACAACAGCCTTTCCCCCTCTTCAACTGCCTGCGATTGTTGTTTCGGGAGCACTTTCACACCCTTAGCGACATTAATACTCTCGATGGGCTCTCCATGTTTTAAAATTGTGCTAATTATTGCTTTGCCAGCAACAAAAGCATTCTCTCCCTTGTTTGTTACCGGAGAGATGCTTTGTGTCTTGCTGAGGTATCAGCATGAGAGGGGGGTGTCGGGTTGAAATCTGAAGTTTTGGTCTACCCACGAGGCCTTTCTTCCCTGAACAATTTGGTGGAGAACTGACTTCTTCGAGATGGGAGATGTTGGAGAACCGAGGTTTGACTTGTTATTTCACACAGTGAGAAACACTGACGAGATGGCTGTATTAAGAGGAGTACGCTGAAAAACTGGATTTATCCTATGTATAGAACTAAGAGGTGATCTTTGCTGGTTTTAAATAATTATACAATGAGTTTAATTCCAGCTACTAAGGTGTCCCAGGTGAAGACTGCCAAGCACAGGGACATGGACATAGAGGCTGAGAAAGGAATGATAGTTGTTTTTTGTGTGTGAACGAGAATTCGTTTATGAACATGTGAGAATTATACAATTGCTATTTCTATCTCCCCAAACTTTGTTGAGAGTCCTAGATGACAAAAATGTTCTTTGTTGGAATTAAATTTCAGAGGTCAAATGAAACTCTTATTAGCCAAATAGGCCTTGAAAAGAGAAAACATCAAAGGAAGAATAAAATAGGAACAAAAAAAGAATTACAAACTTTGATTTGTACTCTATCCTACCAGGAATAGGGGTATAAACTCTACTATTAAGCATGCATCCTTTCATGTTTATAGCCTTTTTAGCACGAGCTTCAAAGCAGCAAGGACTTTTGCAGGAATGTAGAAACAATCATCTGAAAAGATAATATACAGTCCAGGCTATGCCCACCTCTAGATTCCAAGAAATCCTTGTTTAGATGCTTACCACACACCTACTGGGCCCCAGGCTAGGTGTGGGACAATGAGTGACTTTCATGCTTGGGACATGGGGTACTGAGGGGGAAAAATGCCAAACAGTGAAGGTAGCATTCCGTAAAGAAATGGAATGGCCCTTATGTATGAGGAGTGGTGAAGATACAAGGAAAATCTTTACAGAGGAAGTAAATGGCCTTGAGGTTTGGGGATGAGCAGGCTAAGACCCCAGGTCTTTGCTGTGCTGTCAAATGAAGTGATGGCTGAGAGGGAGTCTGTAGTCTTTTCGAGAGAGCCCTCCTATGTTTTGAGGAGAAGGATGGGTGTGGACAGCAGTTGAGGCGGCATCATAGGGCCTAGGCTGGTAGATCTAGAATGGCTTGCAGACAGCCTCTTAGAACAGGGAAGCTTGAATCAATTTTTCTGGGGAATAATTCAATCAGGTTTGTCTATGATAAAGAGTCCCTGAACTGTAGTGTGACCAGAGAAAGGGAACCAGCTGACACTCCAGGCAAAACATCCACAGTGCCTAAACTTGGGCAGTGATACTGAAACTAGAGAGAAGGGACCCTTTGGACTCGGTCCCAACGCTACTTTGCAGCTCCTTCTATGAGAGAGGGGACTACTCCATCAGGTTAGAGAGTCAACTTACCTTTAATACCTCTATTCAATCTTCTCATTAGAACATTTTGTGAGTTTCCCTGGTAAAGCATCTCCTTTTGAACATCTAAAGAGTAGAAACTATTCAAACTCTGAGAAAATGAAGTTGAGCACCGTGTTTTCTATTCAATGTCCCTTAATAAGGGCTTAATGACAGTTCGTGATGGCTGAGAGCGCAGTGTGGAAACCCTTAGCGATGCCGTTTCCTAACTCACTGACCTTGGGAAAGTCACTTACATTTGCTTTAACCTTGGGTTCTTCCCCTGTACAATGAAGATACCAGAATATAGAATATTATAAGGCCTGTAGGCCAAATGTGGCCCACTGCCTGTTCTTTAAATAAAGCTTTATTGGAACAGAGCCATGCTCATTAGCTTATATATTGTGCATGGCTGTGTTTGCCCTAAAATTGCAGAGTTTAGCAGTTGCCACTAAGGCCATATGATCTATAAATGGCCCTTTATAGATAAAGTGTGTTGGCTACTTCTATAAGGGAATACTCATTGTTACCTAGATCCTTTTGTCATCTGTAGAGTACCATACATCAAGGCAAAACTGTTACTTAATTATGTAAAAACCCTGGTAGACCATAGAGCATGAACTAGAAGGTAGTATGGTTCTTAAATGGCCTGTGAAAATAGGATGATTTGCATATCAAAATTCAGTGGTTGGCATTTGTAGAATGGAAAAATGATGATGATACTCACAGTGTCAAGGTTTCATTGCACAGTCCCTGAAAAGCATTGGCAGGGACTGAAGTCATGTAGGGGTTGTCTGTGATTTCCCTGCAACAGAGGGACAAACACACTTGGTGAAAACAATACTTTTATTTTTATTCTTTTGCAGTTGAGCTCTTGCTGCACACCTGCATTTAAATAAATAACTGGACACAATTCGGTTTCATCTTATTTCTTCTTAGGTTTCATTGAGTGAGCCTCTGGTGGCTCAGAGGTCAAGTGAGGTGATGAGAGCTATCTTAGATGGACATGCACTCTGAGCCCCAAATGTACAGTGAGCAAGTGCGCTTTGGATTTGGCTGAGGTCCCTGACTTAATCCTTATCTGCAAAGAGAGCTGGTGGGGCTCAGAGACTTCTTGTGAACCTGCAACAAATACTTAGTCCATAGCAACTAGAGTCTTCTGAGTGTATGGAACCTCTGAAAAGAATTGGTGGGATGGGATCAATGGATTTCATTTCATGACTATTCCTAAAGTGTTCTCCACTCGGAAAACACTGTCAGGCAGTTGCCCCTAGAGATTTTTTGTGTGTATGTCAACCTAGTTGCTGAAAGACTGCCTGTATTTTGAACTGAGCTCTTCTGCAGCAAGAAGCATGGTCATTTTTTTCCAGCAAAATCCCAACAATTTGGATCTGATCACTCTACGTTTTGCTGACTCTGTAGTGCGAACTCAACCTGTAACTCTCTCTGCACACATCCTTTTGTTTCCGTACAACTAGGTAAGACACTTGGCCATGTCAGAGGTTTGGGTAAAGAGTCCAGGGCCGATCAGAAGTCACAGGAAGTAGTTTGAGCACCAACAGTGACTGCTACTTGGCACTCTGTTCAGACAAAATCATTTAAGTTTTCTTTTTTTTTTTTAATCCTCACCCGAGGACATTTTTCCATTTTTTTGTACAGATAGAGTGGGAGGGAGAGAGAGGAAGAGAGAGAGAGAGAGAGATCGACGTGAAAGGGACACATCGAGTGGCTGCCACTCGCACGACCAACCAGGGCCGGGGACAAACTGCAACCGAAGTACGTGCCCTTAGCGGGAACCGAACCCGGGTCTCTCTGGACCACAGGCCGACACTCCAACCGCTGAGCCAAACCGGCCAGGGCCATTTAAGTTTTCTATTCCTCAGTTTCCTCATTTGTAGAATGGAAAAATTATAACTTCCTTTTATGACATGTACTTGGTTGAGAGGAGCAACATTGATAATGCATTGGAAAGTGTTCAAGAAGAGTTAAAAATTAGGTGAAAGATAAAGCATCATTATCATCAAATTTTTCTTCTATTTAATCATTCTTATCAGCAAACAAACATGCCATCATTTCTCCCATGAAAAAAGAACCACAGAAAACGTTTTCTCCTGACTCAATATCCACCAACTACTGAGATGGTTTCTGCTCCCTTTTAATAGTAAAACTCAACAGAGTTTGTGATGATCACTCTCGCTAATTCTCCCTCTAGCCCACTCTAACCAGACTTCTCCATCAACAGCAGTCCACCGACGCTGTCCCTGTCAGGGTCACCACTGCTGCACACTACTAAAGCCAGTGGCCATTTCTCAGTCCTTGCCACACCTCATCCATCAGCGCATTTGTCCCAGCTGATCACTGCTTCCTTCTTAAAACAATTACTCTATGTGGCTCCAACCAACACCAATGGCTGCCTCTATTCCTTGTCAGTGACAAATAAAACATTGCCAAGCATTGCATGTGTGCATACTTACAGGATAAAGAGCACATCAGTAGAATAAACTTTGGTCAAGTCAGGAAATATTTTAAGTCCAGTGTTGAAAATGCCACTAGAGTAAAGAAAAAGAAGAAAAAAATAGGAATTAGCTAAGAAAATGAATGTACAGGAAGTAGAATAACGTAATAGCTGAAAGCAATGGGTTCTGAAGTCAGACTGGGGTCAAATCCTAAGTCCTCCACCAACTATCTGAGTGACTGTGGGCAAGTACTCATCCTTGGGTGAGATGATGTTCCCACAAGGTGCAATAATCTACTGCAGTCCACCAGTGTCCAAACATCTTTTCATTTTAGAAAAATCTGGGGATTGTTTGAACCAAGTAAGATTCCTAGGAAAAGGAATTCAGGTGTCTCTCTCTCTCTCTCTCTCTCTCTCTCTCTCTCTCTCTCTCTCTCTGTGACTTTCTTGTTTTAATTGTGGGTGTGTCTGTGTGTGTCTGGGGGGGCAGGGTGGAAAAAGGGGAGGATGGAGTCAGGAAGACAATATAATTACCCAACTCCAAGCTAAGCTTCCTCTTTCAAATTGATACTGTGTTCATTATTTTGCCATTATTCTCCTGTATGGCAAGAAATTTTCAATTTCATATATAGTATCTTCCCCAACTAGATTGTAAGTGTCTTGAAGGCAAGAACAATGTTTTACTATCCTGTATGTTCCCCACAGAGCCTTGCACATAGCAGGGGATCATCACATCAAAGAGTTATTGATGAATTGAAACACAAAGTCCATACAGGAGTGAGTACCTTGTCCCACATGTTTTGTGACTCCCCAGATAGCCCTTCAGCCCAATAACCCATCAATATCCTTTTCTATTCTTCCAGCATCTCCCACTCCCACATCTTCAATACTGAACTATTCTTACTTCCTCCAAATAAGCCATGTGATTCCACACCTTTGTGTGTTGACCATGATATTTCATCTATCTGTATTTCTCTTCTACTCAACCCCCCCTTTTTCCTGGATAACTTCTATTCATTCTTAAAGACTATATCATAAAATATATATGACTATATACTTTTATTTAAAATCCCTGAAGGGAAATGAACTATGTTAATAGTGATTATTTCTGGGCATTGGGATTAGGGTTGATTTTTATTTTATTTTTTTCTCATAATTTTTTTGTTTTTGCATTCTAATCTTTCACAATATATGTAAGCAGGAAAGAAGGAAGATGGGAGGGTTCTTCCAGCTGGTGCTTGGAGGACCCGAGGCCACACTAGACCTCCCCTGAACACATTGTTGCTGAGCACGGACTCTGTGCTTGGCAACCAGGATGTAACAGAGAACACAAATGTGGCTCCTACTGTCACAGAGGTATGATTGAGGTGTCACCAAGGCAAAACAACCTCCAACAGACTGGATTTTACTCTTCGTGGCATTTTTATTTTTGCTGTGTGGCAGCCACTCTACTATTGTCCCAATACCTGTTTTCTAACCAACTTGACAGGCAGGCTCTCAGAGTATGTTGTGTTGTTTTGTTCTGTTAGATCCAATTTAAACGCTATGCATATATACACGACGGCATTTTCTCCTCATGTCTCTCAGAGCAGGTCCCTGTCCCAGCACGATGTGCTGACTGTTGAGTAGGTTTTCTAAAATGTGGATCGTTTCACCCGATGCCCTGCCTGGTGGGAAAGGCGGGGAGTCAGTCCTAGGATCCGATTTGCCCCAGGCCTTAAACCACACAACAGTGCTGGCCCACACCACCCTAGGGAGAGTCCTGGCAGACAGTAACATTATAATTCTCTAGAAAATAAGAGATGGGACTGGAGTGGAATGAATACTCACAGGAACTTCAGGAGAGGCAGCTCCTTTAGGGCACCAGGGTCTATGTATGTTAAGCTTCTCGTATTCCGAATCTCTCTGTAAAAGATATAAGGAGCACATTCACCATAGTGTGTGCATGTCTGTTCTTACCAGAGCTAGAACAACACAAGCCAGGTGTAACCTGGGAAGAATACACACTGACGTGGCACCCCATGGACTGTTCCTGCCAGGAGTCAGCCCCGACAAAGCTCACAGGAACACACTAGCTATTCCACCTTCTCACACCATTGACTTCGTCTCGGTCCATTTGAATTTGTGGGCAACCTTTCTCTTAACTGCGGTCTCAGAGCCTTTTCTGACTCTCAGAAAAACCTCATCAGTGGTTTGTGGAGGACAGAGATCTCTATTGTCAACAGGAGCAAGGGTCCTGGCCCTGGTTGGGAGGTTGAGTGGAAAGGATGGATGGATGGCGCCCAGGTAATGAGGGCAGCGAGCTCTCTGTGAGCTGCTATTTCAGAGGTAGTGGGTGTAAGTGAGTCTCAACAGTGCAGTGGGGTTTACTTTTCTATGTCAGTAATTTCAGACTCCTTAGCACATCTGGTGTGATGTCACCTTCGTCTGTTACTCATGTGGTGTGAGATCACCTATGTCTATGACTTACAGAGTTGGATTTAAATGCACGCCAATCAAAATGCACAGTGAACATTAGTGAAATTAGTGATAGTGAAAAATAGGCTCTCTTTGGTAAATTAAATGTAGTCTACAGATGTAGGTCAGCTAAAAGAGTTTCAAGGCACCTCCCGTGCTTGTGTGGAGAGGCTGGAGAAACCCAGGAAGACCTGCCCACAGCTTTTCCTCACTGGGATGGCACCTTTGGCTGGATGCCTAAATGAACCTGCATTCAGGTATTGATGGTGACGATGAGAAGACTTAGAATCTGGCCTCTGGAATTTATTTTTTTAACAGTTTTATTGAAGGAGAATTTCCATAAAATTCATGCATTGCAGGTATACAACTAGATGACTTTTGGTAAATTTATGGAATTGTGCAACCGTCATCACAACCCAGTTTTAGAACCTTTCTATCAATGACAAAAGTAACCATATGCCCATGCTCCGTGAGTCCCCACCCCCTCTGCCATGCCTAGGAACCACCAACCTGCTTTCTGTCTCTATAAATTTGCCTTCTCTGGGCATTTCATATGAATGGAATCACAAATATGTAGTATTCGGTGTCTGGCTCCTTTCCTTTAGCATAATGTCTGTGAGGTTCATCCATGTGTAGCACGTGTCAACAGTTTGTTCCCTTTTATTGCTGAATAATCAAATGAACCTGGGTTTGAATCTTGGCTCCAGTCACTGCTGATTGCATGGCCTGGGGCACGTTCCCTAACCTTTTTGAGCCATAGTTTCCTCACATGTAAATAGGGACGATAACAGAACCTGTTTCACAGGACTCGTTGAATATTGACCATCAGGAATTTGATGTGTGATCTAGCATGCAGTGAGGGCTCCATAGACAATTACTGTATCACTGTTATCCTCCTAAGTGGAATGAAAGCTACACCAAGAACTTGGGTTGGAGATTCTGCTGTGTTCGTACAAAACGTAAAAACAAAACACTAGGTTTGGTATTTGATTCAACCAAATACCGAGTATGAAGCTGACCTTGGAAAAGAAAGGATGGAATTAACTCCAAGCACAGAAACCATCTAACCCTCCCCCACCTCAGGTTACTGTCCATATGAGTATAAACTCACTGGCCCATTGTCTTCATTACCAGAAAATTTCCCCAGGCAAAAAAACTTTCCTGTTCATTACGGGAACTTCTTAAAAAACACATCGGTGCTCCAACAGTTTGTATCCCACGACTCTTAGAACCCCTCACCTCGAAATCTTTGCCTTGTTTCCACTGCTCCTAACCTACCGTATCATGATCTTTATCCAACCAAGACCCTGTGTTGAAAGACCCACTTTAAACTAGATTTTTATGGAAACTAAACTTTATGCCTGGAACTCTCTGTCCGGGTAAACTGAGGCACTGACCACCTGACTGCAGGACCTCATAGCCCTCTTGCCCTGGCCCTTGGAGAGACTGCCACTCTCTCAAGGCCGTGCCCAGTCTCTGCGTGTGAGCCATGAAGCCCTTGCCAGGACTCTCCATTGGGGGAGGAGGGTTGGAACTGCTGTCAGAGACCATCAAAGGTGAACTGTTCAGGAGAGGGTAGACACTGTCTTGAGTGTGGTCTGCAGTCTGGAAAGTTGTTCCATAAGAGACGATGGATACGCAGACTTCAGTCAGTGACCCAGAAGAGCGTGGCAGTGAAGTGAAGTGCAGCTCGGCTGAACCAGCGTTAGAGGTCATGCGTCAAAGGCAAGCCGGCCCTGCTGCTGGTGACGCTGAGTCAAGGAGGCTGCGACCAGCATGGCTGCTGTGAGAGGGAAGGAGGTGGGAGAGGCTGGGGCGGGGGGGGGGCACAAGGAGAAGACGGATTTCTGGAGGGAAATGGAAGAGTTCGAGGAAAGATGAACAAGAGATACCACAAGAAAACACCAGGGAAAAGAAACCACTTTCCGAGGTAAGAAGACAGCTCAACACTCGCTCATAAGTGACTTAAAAAATAAATCGATGCCGAGAGAAAGATAAACTGTGTGATATCACTGGTGTGTGGAATCTAAACAAAGCTGAACTCAGAAATAGAGATCAGAGTGGTGGTTTCAAGTCTGGGGGGTGGGGGGGGATGGGGAGATATTGATCAAAGGAGACACACTTTCAGTAATAAGATTAACGGATTCCAGGGTTCTAATGTACAGCCCTGTAACTACAGCCAAAAAGACTATTCACTGGAAGTTGCTAAGAGAGATGTTAAATGTTCTCACAGAAAAGAAAGGGTAATTATGTGGCAGGATGGAGGTGTTAGCTAATACTAGGGTGGAAATCATTTCGCAATATGCTAAGTGTATCAAATCAACACTTTGTATGTTAAACTTACATAATGTTATAATATTCATTGTAACTCAGTAAAGTTAGAAAGAACACAGTCTGTTGAAGCAAGGAAGGGGAGGACAGATGGACTGCTAATAGTTTAGCTAAATGGAGACAATGTCAGAAGTTAGTGCAGCTGGTATAATCTTTTCTAAGAAGAAAGCAAGGAGGAGTAGAGGCAAGTGCCCCAGAATCTCTGGTAATAGAAGGAGGGGTCCAAGTTTGAATGAGTCCCAAGCATGCCTGGGAGGTTGAATTTGAATCACATAATTTTGAGTTAAGCAATTATGGCCCAAGCGTACAGGAGGGCAGCTATGCTACAGGGAGCTGGCATACCAGAGAAAGAAAACCTGTATGTAATTGGAACACGGCTGGTTGGAATGGAGATGTCCTCCATAGTAGGTGTGACCAAAAGCTGAGGGTGGAGGGGTCCCTGGCTCGGCCTGGATCTTTGGGTGGCTGTGTTGGAGAAGGCTGCCCTACCCGCCTTCTCATTTACCCAGTACTGTCCCAAGAGCGAGAAATAAACTTCAATTACCTTAGGGCTGTCCCAGGTTTCTGTGTTTGTCTATTTCTTATAGTAATTACCCTACCCAAACCAATGCAATAAGCATCGATACAATTCTTAAAATACAGAGTACACTGTTAGTAGTGGTCATATCTGGTAGGTAGGTTTGGAGGCTAGGAGAGTGTGATTTTCATTTTTTATTTTATCTTGTTTAAAGGAAGAAAAAAAATGTAATAAAGGCATGCAAAAGAGTCCTCAAATTAAAAAACAAAAAGAAGCAAAGCAATAGTCTACATCATTTTTTTTTTTTTTTTAAATGTAGGACCAAGTGGTCTGCTCAAATCTTCAAGTATGGCCCAGCCAGCATGGCTCAGTTGGTTGAGCATTATCCCATGTACCAGAAGGTCACTGGTTCCATTCCTGGTCAGGGTGCATGCCCTGGTTGTGGCTTGATCACCAGCGTGGTGTTGGATGAATGGAGGGTGGTGCAGGAGGCAGCCTATTGATGTTTCTCTCTCCCTGATGTCTCTATTTCTCTCTCCCTCTCCCTTCCTCTCTGTGAAACCAATGAAAACATATTAAAAAAATTTTTTTTTCAAATATGCTCTTCTGTGGAGTAGAACGATTTAGCTGTGCCAGGGAAATATTTGAGGATCATGAAGCTCATTTATCAGAGAAACCCAGCCTTGGAATAGGAAAGGGCAAGAAGGGACGGGGTGTATGTCTTATTGGTCAGGATGGTTCTGACAGTGAGGCAACGGCAGACTGGTTTAATTAAGTGAAGCAGGTAATATTATCCTCATTTTGCAGACAAAACAGTAGAGACACATTTAGAAAGGTAATATTCCTGATCTGTTAAACACTTAGAGGCAACCCTGGGCTATGATCTAGGACTTTTCAGCTTTTAAAAATATATATATTTTTAAAGAAAATCATCCACCAGAACTAAGAAGAAATTTAAATACTCATCATTGTTGCCTGGACGGATGGAGTGGCTCAGTAGCTTGAGCACTGATCTTTGCACCAAAAGGTTGCTGGTTCGATTCCTGGTCAGGGCACATAACTGGATTGCAGGTTCAATCCCCTGCTGGGAACCAGTGGGAAGGCATTTGGTTGATGTTTCTCTCTTTCACAATGATGTTTCTCTTTCTGTCTCTAAGCATGTTCTCTGGTGAGGATTAAAAAAAAAAGGTAAGCCCTGGCCGGTTTGGCTCAGCGGTTAGAGCGTCGGCCTGCGGTCCGGAGAGACCCGGGTTCGGTTCCCGCTAAGGGCACGTACTTCGGTTGCAGTTTGTCCCTGACCCTGGTTGGTCGTGCGGTGGCAGCCACTCGATGTGTCCCTTTCACATCGATGTTTCTCTCTCTCTATCTCTTCCTCTCTCTCTCCCTCCCACTCTATCTGTACAAAAAATGGAAAAATGTCCTCGGGTGAGGATAAAAAAAAAAAAAAAAAAAAGGTAAGAATTCGGCATTGTTTAATTTCCCTTCATTAGAGCTCAAATAAAATGGACATTTTGATAAAAAGTATAACATTGGCCCTGGCCAGTTTGGCTCAGTGGTTAGAGGGTCACCACGCGGACCAATGAGTCGTGGGTACGATTTGGGTTAAGGGCGCGTACCTCAGTTGTGGTTCATCCTCGGCCCTGGTCAGGGTCATGCAGGAGGCAACCAGTCGATGTGTCTCTTTCACATCGATGTCTCTCTCTCTCTCCCTCTCCCTCCTACTCTATCTGAAGATAAATGGCAAAGTATCCTCGGGTGAAGATTAAAAAAAAAAAGTATAACATTGATGCCTGGTGTGTGGTGTTTTCACAAATCAGCAGATTAATAATTCAGCATACATTAGGTTCATTTAATCATATGTCTAGATTCTGTGTTGTTGTTGTTTTTCTTTTTCTGAGAAACATTAAGTCTCGACAACAGCCAAGAACAGAGAAATTTGCTTATTTAATACAACTGGCACTTAGTCGCCCAGCCTAAACCCAAAGAACATGGGAAATCAGCAAGATGAGAGGAAGGAGTTCTCGGGTTGGGGAGACAAAGGCAAAAAGAGGGGAGGTGGAGGCTCAAAACCCTTCTCATTAAGGAACTTTCCAACTACTGATTTCCTTCTGCTGCCTGTGGCCCCTTCCCCCCTCTGCTATTTAACAGCATTTGACTGTGATCTTCAGGCCGAGAGGTATTTACTGACACCCTAGACATCCCAGCCCGTGAGTGAAAAGACACCGAGCTTGGAAGCGGACGGAAGGCAATCATGAAGCCGACTTGGCATGTCACCTGCCAAGCTCGCTGGGCCAAGGGCAGTGAGGAAGCATCAGACTCAAACGGGGCAGGGAAATGGAGTCAGAATGAAGTATCTGAAGAGAAGACAAGCTGCCCCCCCCCACCCAGTGGCATAGCCGGACCTCAAAGAAATACAAATGCAGTAGTGTGTAAGACAGCGTAGTTTAAAGCAAGAAACTGAAGGAGAACCTTAGCCAAGAACCCAGCTCTCAGCCAGTCCCCAGCTTCTTTTGAACTCTTACTTTATTTTGATTTTCAATTGTTTCCTAGTCCGCTTTTAAGTGCAAATAGTTTAAAAATCAATAAAAACAGGAGGCAGGCCACTGTGGCTTTTACTAGGTCTGCTGGCTCTGTACATACAGAGGGGAGAGTCATTAACATTAAACGGATCTACTATGTGCAACGTTACAGTGTGCTCTGGGGACTACAGGGAAGTGACACTAACTATTCAACTGCTTTAAAAAGAAGAGGTGAGCCCTGGCCAGTTTGGCTCAGCGGTTAGAGCGTCGGCCTGCAGTCCAGAGTGACAGGGTTCAGTTCCCGCTAAGGGCGCGTACCTTGGTTGCAGTTTGTCCCCGGCCCTGGTTGGTCGTGCGGGTGGTGGCCACTCAATGTGTCTCTTTCACGTCGATGTTTCTCTCTCTCTCTCTCTCTCTCTCTCTCTCTCTCTCCCTCCCTCCCTCCCTCCCTCCCTCCTTCTTTATCTGAACAAAAAATGGAAAAATGTCGTTGGGTGAGGATAAAAAAAAACCAGGAGGTGAATATATTGGCAAAGCCAGTGTTGTGTTCCTTGAAATACTTTAAATGCTATACAGCTCCAGGATGAAAAATGGGACTGCAATGAGGTAAATAAACTTAAAAGTAACATTTTATGATAGGCTTTTATTACGTAATAAATCACCCATGTGTTTTAACATCAAGTATTAATCTCAAGATGAATGCATTTTGAAGAAAACTTTAATTTTTAAAAAGTTAATTTTAATGGACTATAAAGATAACACATATACAATGTAAAAACTTTTAAACATATTCACATAAAAAAATATGAAATCTCCCTTCATTCCATGATTCAAAAAAATCAGGTTTTTTTTTTCTCTCTCTCTGTAAGTATACATATATTTAAACAGCATTATGTCAAAAGCACTTCCTCTGGGATCAAATAATCTATGACAGCAGATAGCTAATGGTTGCTCAGTGTTACATTCTCCTAGCTAAGCATTTGAATATTTACCAAATTTTTGCCATTATAAATTAACTGAGACAAATGGTTTTTTTTCTCACTCCTCTGTTTATTTTAATAGGGAAATTAAATAGACATGAAATTACTCGGTCAAAAAGTATAACATCTGACAAAGTTATTGGAATATATTATATCCTTAGCTTCTCAAATCCTAATTTTAAAATTAGCACTCACTTTTCAGTAATAGCCTATACAGTCACAGCATAAGTTATCTTGTACATTACAAGGCTTTGAAATGAAAGAAATCGTAATTGTTCTACTTTGATAATTACCAATGAAATATTTTACCACTAACATTACATTATGTGACTAAGGGAAAATAATCTGAACCAAAAGGTGATATTCATGATTTTGATGCATTTTCTAATTTATTGGGGAATTAAAAATAATAGATGTTAATTCAAATAAGTTGTAAATATTCAGGTTTTTGAAGCAGATGGAGAAAAATTTAAGTCTATCAGCAGATGTACCACTGGAAACAGGACTTTATAAAAGTGATTTTTCAAATTGCCTGGAAGATACATATTGCTACTTTCAAGATTATATAATAATCAGGACTAAGACTGGTGTTCTAAGACCTCCAATAAACCACTTGATTCAATTTAATCAGCAAAATAGTTCATCACATTATTTGCCAAAACGCACACACTTCACCTATCCAGCTGTAGAATTTTTATTTACTTGTGAATTTTTAAAAAATTTACATACAAATAAAAACATCCTTCTGAAGGCAGCATTTCTTTTAATTATGTCTGCTTTTCATTAAAGAGATATTATGGTTTTGCACTTGGTTTCAAATTTGGACTGTATTTTCTTAGCTAAAAACCTTGGGCATGAGCTCTGTAAACTGTGATCACCATCTCCACTGACACAGGGAGACTGAGGCTTAGTGGGACTGAGTGGGACTGTGTATGTGAAGCACTTTTAGCAGGGTGCTTGCCCATAAAAGGCATCAGTCAGTAATTGGTAGCTAGTTGGAGCAACAATGGCAGCCATCTATATGCTACTGGTTAAAGTTTGTAACCTTCCTTCCTTCCTTCCTTCCTTCCTTCCTTCCTTCCTTCCTTCCTTCCTTCCTTCCTTCCTTCCTCCCTCCCTCCCTTCCTCTCTCTCTCTCTCTCTCTCTCTCTCTCTCTCTCTCTCTCTCTCTTCCTTTTTCTTTTTTTGGTTAATCCTCACCCAAAAACATTTTTCCATTGATTTTTATTTTTTTAGAGTGGGAGGGAGGGAGGAAGAGAGAGAAACATAAGTGTGGAAAAGACACATGGATCAGTTGCCTCTCACACAACCCGGACCAGGGCTGGGGATTGAACCTAAAACCCAGGTAAGTGCTTTTGCTTGGGAATCAAACCCGAGACCCTTCAGTCCAAGGGTTGATGCTCCAACTGCTGAGCCAAACCGGCCAGGGCTGCTATTGGCTTCTTTATAGAGGAAATGAAATAGAAGATGGAAGTGACCCCAGTGTATCATGTTAAAGACATAAATCTCTATCTGATGTACAGTTCTGGGTCCAAATAGTATCCCAGCTGAAGTTTAAAACCCAGGACTGATTTGTATCCACTTAGGACCCTCAATAATTTACAAAGAAACCTGTCAGTCTTGTACTTTTCTCTTGCCAATCCTCAGTGTCTTTACCTATTGCTAAATGATACATAATTGCCACCTCTCCTGGCTATCAAATTACCCCAAACTAAGTGGCTAAAATAGCAACTATTTTATTACAGTTCAATTTCGAGGATTAGGATTTCAGGCAGGGATAAACTGGGTGATTTTTCTCCTCCGTGTGGGATCCACTGTGAGCACTGGTTGGTATTCAGTTGGTGTCTGGATTGATCTGGAGGGGTCTGTATGGGGATTGCTAGAAGGCTAGGCTCAGCTGGGCCCTTCTGCATAGCCATGTGATCTAAGGACCTCCCCATATGGTCTTCCCATCAGCCACAGTTGGACTGTCATTGCCATCTGGAAACCCAAATTAACAATTAAGAGTGGCGGTGGCTTGGGTCTATGCTGCATTGTTCATTGTACTTACATGTGCGTCATTTTACTCAGATTGTAGAAGGAATGTGATTCCAGCCGCTGCAGAGTTGTATCTATTGATAAGTAGCTGTACATCACAAAAATATAAGACAAAGTAAAAAGTTAGTGAACTCCAAACATACTACCTTGATGTAATGTCTTTGTCAGGGGCTTCTCAAATCATAAAACATATACATTCCTCATGGTTTCTCCCTAATTATGATCAAATTAGTTACTACTTTTGTTTTTTTTTTTAGATCCTGTGAGACCTGAAAGTTTCCCAATGCATGAAGTCCTATTCATCCTTCAGGTTTCATTGAACTGATACTCCCTTCAGAAACTTTCCCCCAAATTCCTACAATCTATCCTCATAATACCATGAACTCTTTTCCCTAATTATCACAGAACAACTTGGCAACTGTTTGGATGGTATTTGATTTGTGTTGTCTCATTGCACTGCAGATCCTCTGAAATGGAGAACCATGTTTGTTTCTGGTGACCATTGACTTCCGAGTCCTTTTCACAGTGCTTTGAGTGTAGTAGACTCCCAATATGTATATGTTAGGTGAATGAGTGAATAAATGAATGAGTAGGTGCATTACTCAAAAGAGTGGAACATGAAAGACATGAAAAAAGAACTCAAGAATGAATAAGAGGCGTTTTAATGAATGAATAAGGGATATAGAATCAGAGATGTAGTTCCAGAGGATGAAGAGAAATCCACAGTGTTCCAGTGGAATATTCCGGAGTGTGGTGACTACATGGTATTCCAATACCTCTGTTCTTGACTTTGATGAGGCTGAAAATTCAAGGTTTATTTTGAACTTTGGAGCAGAAGATAACTGAAATAAATGTTTTAAGTACTAAAATGGGGAAAAGCGAAACTTCTAACCACAAGAATACATAAGGAATGACATTTCAAATAGCCTCCTCAAATTCCATCTTGTAATGAGAATGACTAATGCAGCCAGATTCAGTGACTGATTTTTACGGAGAGGCATTCCTATGACATTTGGGAAAATTAACGATTGACAGATGGTGTTCACCTGTAGCCAGAGTGGAGATTTTTAACCCTGACCATACAACTGAACTACCTGGAAGTCTTTTAAAACGTACAGATGTCCAAGACTTGGTCCAAGATAATTAAGTCAGTGTTTGTGAGGGATGAGGAAAACAATTCTATTTCACAGAGCTTTCCAGATGATTCTAATGTTCAGGCAGGGTTGAGAATCACTGGCCTATACTTTAATTGAATCTATCAGTACGATATTTTCATTAACACAGTGTTTAGAAGAGGAGCTCTGAGTGTCCCATTTGAGTTTATACCATGGTCATTGTGAGTGTTTTAAAGATTCTGTGATTTTTCTTCTGAATTACCTATTCTGTAAATTATTATCCTTTGATTAATCAAGTCTCCCAAGTTATTACCACTTGTGGATAACATTACATAAATTATTTTGATCCAAATATATCTAAAACAGAGAAAGCAATAGGAGATGTTGAAATAATTAATTTATTGTGTAGAGATTGTGGGAATTTATAGGGGAGGAAGCCAAGCAATCTGAGAGACAAGATTAATTTTGAAGGCTGCAAACTTGTTTATCTAACTGTGCATCATATCCATTCACTCCAAATTTTCTCTTGCATTTCTTAGTTCAGAAGCACAAAGCTTTCTTAAAGTTTTTGTGGAGTAGTTATTCAGGTCATGCCATAATAACTGAATGGTGAATCCAACATGTAGGAACCATTTGTCAGAGGGATGAAAAGAATGATTCTCTGCTTGCTAATCCTATTTTATAAACAGGACAAGTCAGATCTCACTTCTTCCTCAAATTTCTTCTTACCATTTAAGTCTTATATAATTATTAGAATGAACATAACATTTATCATCCAAAATAGGATATTTTTGTGTGTTAAAACAGGGTGCCGTTAATATGCCAGAATAATAGGTTGGAATTTGTATTGTCCCAGGCAAACCTACCTAGGGTCTCCTTGGTGATCTCTCTCTTGCCCCCTAGAAATATTACCTCTTTGATGATTATTCATGTATATCTGTGTGCTTTCATTCAACAAATGACCAAATAGACGTGTTCCCTAGCTTCAATGCACTCACAGCAAAGGGAGATACAGACAGGTCAATGGGATTAGCATGTAAGGTGATAAGCTTTCTGAAGGGGGTCAGGGCACACTTAACCCAGACTGGAGAATTTAGCACAGTCTCCTTGGTGGAAATTCCAACAAGATCTTCAAATATCTCAGTCAACCCTCCCATCATTTTAATTGCCTATGACTTTCATTTCAAACCTTTTCAAATTCCAAACTCGGCCAGCTCTACCCTCAATATTAGTAGTACATACTATTTTAATAATTTGTAGAAAAGATTGAAACCTTGAGATGAAGATTTTAAAAATTCCCTTTCAATAAGCCTATTAATTTACCTGCACCTGCCCCAATTCTTCTTATTGCAATGTCAAAAGTGGCCATCTTCCCGTAGAAGGTCAGTCCCTCTACTGGGTGCTCTTAACATTGTTCTTTCTTCACTTTTATTATTATTATTATTATTATTATTATTATTATTATTATTCTTTTAGCTTCTTGCTCTCTACTGACTACTTTCCCTGGCCCCAGTTACAAATATCTGTTTATAACTCTCAAGTCTAGGGTCCTCCCAGATCTTTCCCTGAGTACCCCACCATACCCAGCACTTCCAGTTCTCCTTGCTCTGCTTCTTTCTTTTTACCATATCCAGTAGCCCTTCTAAATCAGTATACAGGCCACCAAATGAAGGTGCTACTGAAACGGGGAGTAGGCAAGGAGCAGTTTAGGGGGAAGATGAAGAGTTTATTTTGAATAAATAAAAGGACTGAGTTTGTCCTGCTTGTGGGACATCAGGGGATGATATTTGGAAGGAAGTTTGTAATGCAGGCCTGGACTGTTAAGAATAGGTCAGGGCTAGAGATATTCATTTATGAATTAGTTGTATAGCTAATAGTGAAATCTGAAACCATTGGCTGCATTTATGGCAAAATGTAAGCATTAGTACTAGTGGTAAAAAGTGAGTCAAGAATTGGTAATTAGGATAGATTAATTATAGATAGATAGATAGATAGATAGATAGATAGATAGATAGAGAAAACTGTTTATGGGAGAAATTTCCAGCTAAGATTTTACCACATCCTGAGATATATTAAAATAATACATCAAGAATTATTAAAATTTTAAGACCAAATGAATTAAAATTTATTTTAGCTTTAAAAAAATCATTTAGGAATTAGGGAATGGAGATGTAGCAAAACCAAGTAAACATTTTGTACATAAAGTTTTTATATATATTACATATGTAGATTGTTTTTCTGGATAGAACACATTTAGAAAATAACATGTCATAATTGCAGACTTTTTTATATTAAGAAAAATGACTTACATCCTGGAAATATTGGGCAGATTTGAAAATGCATGACTGGGAATGGTTTTCAGATGAGTCTCTATAAACTTCCTGTAAAAATAAGTTACACAATTAGAGTTTTAATCATTGGAATTTTCATTAATTCATCTTAATTATACAGAACACATTTTAGAGGCATGATGGTCCTTAACAATATATATTTCATCACATATGATCAACAAAAATAATACTCAATGCAAAAACAAACATACATTTTTCTCCCAACAAAAGAATTAAGAGTAAGATTCAAATGCAGAAAATAAATCTTTGAACTTCATCTTTGAATTAGCAGTAAACCTGCATGCCATGTCTAACACCATATTCAGTTCGTTAACTAAAGGGCAACATAATATATTCGTAAGTTTATCAGGACTACAGAATTCATATCATGCACTTGTCAAAGAAAATGTCTTGGAATGTCATCAGAATAATAAGAGGAATTAAAAGTATTTGAGCCCTGGCTGGGTGGCTCAGTTGAATTGGAGCGCCAACCCAAAAGGTTGCGGGTTCAATTCCCAGTCAGGGCACATACCTAGACTGCAGGTTTAATCCCTAGGGGAGTGTACGGGAGAAAACCAATCAATGTTTCAATGTTTCTCTCTCATATCAATGTTTCTTACACACACTCTCTCTCTAAAATCAATTTTTAAAATATCCTCAGGTGAGGATTTATTTACTTATTAAATAATTTTTTTTTTTTTTGACAGAGAGAGAGGGAGGAAGAGGGAGAGAGAGATAGAAACATTGATGAGAGAGAACATCAGTTGGCTGCCTCCTGCATGCACCCTACTGGGGATTTGGCCCCAAACCCCAGCATGTGCCCTGACCGGGAATCAAACCAGCAACCTCTTGGTGCATGGGCCAATGCTCAACCACTGAGCCACACTGGCCAGGCTCAGGTGAGGATTTAAAGAAAGTATTTAATATATCTTAAAGATTAAAAATTTTTGCCCACCCCTGTATTTAGAACTTCCAGTTTCCAGTTTGACTTGCCAGGACCCTGGAAGTCACCCCTCCATCCTAGCATTGAGTAAAAAGCTGATCTGACTGAGAAATTAGCAACTTTTCTTATACCTATAAGAGAGGGAAGACAGCCCTGGCTGGTTTGGCTCAGTGGTTAGAGTGTTGGCCCACAGACCAGAGAGTCCCGGGTTCGGTTCCTGCTAAGGGCACGTACCTTGGTTTCAGTTTGTCCCCGGCCCCTGTTGGGGTTGTGTGGGTGGCAACCACTCAGTGTCTCTCTCACATTGATGTTTCTCTCTCTCTCTTCCTCCCTGTCTCCCTCCCACTCTATCTGAAGATAAATGCAGAGATGTCCTCGGGTGAGAATAAAAAAGGGAAGTCACAGGGCAAATTGCTGCCCCCATGGCTGAGGAGACAGGCAAATCCAGGGCATCCGGCTTCTCAGAGCAGAGACTCCTGAGTGGAGCTGCCTGGGACCAGCGCTGGGGTAGGAAAACATGGACCGTGATTGCTGAGTCGCTGGAGGCCCAGTGTGGACAATTCTGAGAGCTGAAAACTCCCGGGGGATCCAGTCATAGAGGGACCTCCACAATTTTGTGAGATTTACCTCCATTATTTTGACCAGATTTTAATAGCAAATATCAGAGAAAAATCCCCTTGCGCTTCCCGCAAAGAGAGGGGAAAGGAACCATTTGTAACTGCACCAGATCACTCTGTTCATAGCAAGGCCTGCCCTGGGGAGGGGGGTGGATAATCAGAGCCTAACAGACCTGGGAGAGGGAAATACATACCCAACTCCAGTCCAGTGTAGACATCCCGTCTTACAAAGGGGAGGGGAAAACATGGAGAAACCCTTGTGAAGCTCACAGTCTAGAGGAATAAGCTTGCTAAATGAGTAAGACCTAAACACGGGACCATAGCACGCTCCTCCTCCCCAACACCTCACCCCCACAGTACTGAAGGCCTATTTATAGCAGTTCCTTTTACTTATTTAGTATATCATATCTACTTATTAAGAATTATATCTGACTGTGGTTAATATGATCTTATAGGTTTCAGGCGTGGATTTCTATTGCACACCTGAAACCTATCTAATCATATTAGCCAATGTCATCCCAATACATTTAATAAAAAAAGAATTATATTTGTAACTTTCCAAATCAAAGCATCAGCAAAGCCAAATTAGTTAATAGAAGGACCTACTCAATCACATAGTCAATTATATTGTGATAAGTTTGCATGGTGACAGATGACTACTAGAATTAGTGGGGTGATCACATTGTAAGGTATGAAAATGTCGGATCACTGTAATTTACACTTGAAACTATTATAACTCATATAATATTGTATCCTAATTATACTTAAATGAAAATAAATAAATAAAAATAAGCACCAATGAGCTTGGAGGGCGGGAAGTGATGTGAAGGACAAAAGTGGAGCTTGTCAGCCCTTCGCAAACATTGGTGTTTCAGCACGAAGCCCAATGTTGCCTAATGTGATTTCAGAAATTCAGGTCCTGTAAATTGCCTGCCCTTCCTCACAAGTCTCACACTTACATTCCCTTAATGGGGTTTACTAAAAGCCTGTTGGTCCAGATGCAAGATTCTGAAGTTACAAAGATATGAGAATAACAAGTTGTTTGACCAAAATCTCTGAGAAAAATTGGGCCATGACAAAGGAAAACAAAGGATAAGATAAATGCCTGTTGGGTATCACCCAGGAAGATTGAATTTCTTAAGCTCAAAGATAATCTTACTTATAGAGCTTGTCCTAGGGCATGGATCCTGGGGCATACTCATCTTAAGTTTGCGCACACTGCTTATACGTAATGTGGACCTAATTTATGACTTACGTTGGCTAAAAATGTTTGGGTTTATTCTGTGTTTAAAAGTAAATAACATATTTAATTTAAAATAAAGTTATAATTTTCTAAGTTATAAAGTTATAAAACTTTATAACTAATTTAAAGTTATAAAGTTTCTAAGGTGTTTGGCTTGGAACAGAAATAGCATCTAAATGTAATTTAATAGATTTGGAGTTAAAGATTCAAATACTGTTTATATCCTTCCCCAACGTATGAAATCCTGAAACATATACTTTATGTTTTCTTGAATTCTCTCTTTCTCTTCCACACATATAAACACACGTTAGAACAAAGATTTTTCTCCAACTGCTGAATTAGTTTTAGTTGATGGGGTTCAGCTTCCTCAAATATGGCACCTTGGCATAGTAAATATTTTATGCAGGAAGAATTTGAGCAATGGCAGGTGCAGGAAGAACCCTCTGACCCTCCTCCCCGAAGCATAAAACCGTCATGTAGGCGGTGTCCTCCCTATACCCAGAGAAAAGGAGCATCCGAATCTCTGAAGACACCCAGAGGACTTTAAATGAAGAAACCTTAAGTTTCCCCCTAGGTACTACCATAGCTCATATCCCTTTGTCCTATCATATTTTCCACTTTTCATCAAACTAGCATAAAAATGCTCAGGTTTAACCACTCCAGCTCTTCGGTTCCCTATGAAGGCTTCCATGTCACATAAACTTATATGAAATAAAGTTGTATGCTTTTCTCTTGTAAATTTACCTTTTGTTATAAAACTCCAGCTGGTAAACAAGGGTATTTATTTATTTATTTATTTATTTATTTATTTTCCCCCTCTCCTATAGTTTCTGGTGGGCAGGATGGGATAGTGAATGGCTGGGATACTCCACTCTCCTTGGAGACCGCAGTTGAGGTCTGGCTCAACTGACAGAAAGCTGACGGAAGGTAAGAGTTCTTATCATACCAGTTTTGTAAATCTTGGTCTTATGCTTAGTCGAGAGAAGAAGGTAGACATTTTTCTTTGCCCTTCCCTTTCTAAAGTCAGATTAGCCAGAAAAAAACATTTACAAGAATTAGTTGTTTGGATGGTGACTCTTGAGAGTTTGGTTTTGAGTACCCATTGGTTATTGATCTTCCCCATCCCAGGGACAGCTATTGCTTTCCTGTTGGTTTTGGTGTGTGTCCTGAGAGGCTGGCTTGGTTTTTCACCTGCCAGGGTGTGTAGGTGGTCAGTTCCTTTCAAGTCATTCATCTAAGAAACAAAGATTCTGTGTTTTATCAACATAACTTCCTATGTTTTCTGTTGTCTTTATCAACAGATGTTGATTAAGGAAAACCTAATCTTATAATATTAAAAGGGGTTTGTTCAAAGCAATAAAACCTTTATATTTTCTTTTAAAATCTTTTTTTTTTTTTTTTGAGTTTATTTTTTTTTATTTATTTATTTATTTATTTTTTTATGAATTTTTATTTATTTTTTTGTTACAGATATTTTACCTTTTTACCCCATTGGCACCCCCCACCCCCCCCTCCACCCTGTCCCCGGCTTAGTTGTCCATGTCCATTGGTCATGCATACATGCATATAAGTTCGGTGGTTTATCTCTTCCCACCCCCCCACCCCCCATCCCCTCTTCTGAGGGATGTCAGTCTGTGCCCTACTTCCATGTGTCTGGGTCTACTGTATTCCTCAGACTGTTATGTTCATTATATTCCGTATATAAGTGAGATCATGTGGTATTTGTCTTTTTCTGCTTGGCTTCTTTCACTTAGGATAATACTTTCCAGGTCCCTCCATGTCGTCTCAAAGGATAAGAGATCTTTCTTTCTTACCGCTGCATAGTACTCCATTGTGTATATGTACCACAGCTTTTTGATCCATTCGTCTACTGGTGGACACTTGGGCTGTTTCCAGATCTTAGCTATTGTAAATAGTGCTGCTATGAACATGGGGGTACATATATTCTTCCTGATTGGTGTTTCAGGCTTCTTAGGGTATATTCCCAGCAGTGGGATCACTGGGTCAAATGGAAGTTCAATTTTTAATTTTTTGAGGTAGCACCATATTGTTTTCCATAGCGGCTGCACCAGTCTGCATTCCCACCAGCAGTGTGTTAGAGTTCCCTTTTTTCCACACCCTCGCCAACACTTGTTGTTTGATGATTTGTTGATGGCGGCCATTCTGACAGGTGTGAGGTGATACCTCATTGTTGTTTTAATTTGCATCTCTCGGATGATTAGTGATGTTGAGCATTTCTTCATATGTC